CCCCCCAAATCTATCCTCCAACCTGCTTGAGGACTTCTGCCCTCCCCCCCAATCCCTTTACTTTCATCCCGTAACAAGATAGCTGTGTAGGACATGACAAATGAACTCACCATAAGTTCCAGACTCAGCATGGACCCATCCTTGAGCTTCAGAACCTCAGCCAGAGACGGGAGGACATCAAACAACGACGCATCCTGAGAGAAAGGTCAGAAAGTTTTGTTGATATGCAAAAAACAATGTTGTCGATGCAAAAAAATTGGTGTAGCAGACTTCGAAGTAATTTAACTTGAATTTTCTGTTATCATGAAACGATTTCAGATCCCCAGAGTGGTTTTTTTTTTTACATTTTACTTTATTCCAATTATTCCGTTAACACAAAATCTGCTAAACAAAAGCTAGAACAAAAAGATTTTATATTTGGTGATACTGATGGAAAGACTTTACTGAGAACGATTTGATAAAAACTTTTCTATTACAAATATATCTCTCCAAATCTGGGTCACTGGAGTCCACTCATGTTCCTTATTGGGAACTGCTTAATCTTTGATCCAGGAATGTGGACTAATCCCCAAAAAGTTTTCTGAAGATTCTGCGACGTTTTTAACTTTAATAACGTAGCCTCTGAGAGTGTTTTGAATTTAAAAAAAAAAGAATTACAATAAGGTGTTATTTCACTAGGTAACAAACATAATTGATAAAATTAAAAAATACAGAAGCCTACATTCATCTAAATACTTACATTACAAGTAATGCTTCTACAGGTCAGATCAATGTTATTGTTTGATAGTAAAGCAGTAATTCTTTTCCCTGCATGTTCATGTTCTCATGTTCAAGTAGGAGGAGAAATGGTAGTATGTAACTCTTTCAAGTGCAGTGCAGTAATACTTTGTCCACACCCACTTTCTCACAGCAAAAAATTGTTCAAATCCACAATGCAGCAGTACAATCGTCCACAATTTTTTTTTTTTAAAGGAATTCCGAAAATTTTCAGAGAATCCCCATCTCTGTTGATCACAAGCCAACCCTTTCATGGATCCTGGAGAGGAGGGAGGAGCAGTTGTGACGGTGTACCTCCTGCGATGATACATATTCTCCGACCAATGACCAAAGAATGTCCACTCACCAGTTTTGGACACATCTCCACAAACTGTCCTTTGATCATCTCCGCCTCAGAGCAAATCTTTTCAGCTGAGCTTCTCCGTTCCTCATAGTTCTTGAATGATAACTTCCTGTCAAATCAGGAATGAAGAAATTTTAATCACATTCCAGAAAGTCAGGAATAATCAGGAAAATTAGGAGTTAAAAAAAGGGAAACCATCTCCACTGACCTTCTCACATACAGAAAAATGTACATGATTCAGAAGAACCCATGAAGAAGCAACAACAAATGTCGCATCCTTCCATCCAAGACAGTAGCACAGCAATGGAAAACCATCCCATCCACAGACAATTCGTTTGTTTTTAGAAAGAGTTTTAAGGCACTGGCAACACAATAGGGTCAAATAAAAGTACTGAAGATTAGGGGTGTTACAAGAGAGTAACAAACATAAAAAAAGAAGGAAAAGAGGAAAGGACGACAGATGGTTGATAGGAAAGAAAGAGTAAACCACACTAGAGCACCCGCCAAAAACCCACTTCACAGAAAACAAGCAGAGACTCAACAACAGACACTGACAAAAACATGGTGCAAACAGACACTAAGAAAACTCTGACCTTGAAAGAAGAGCTTTGACGTACTCCTTAACGATACGTCGCTGACCCCGAGACAACAGCGTCTCAAACATGACGGGCCTCAGGTGGATGAAGTCCCGATGGTAGTCGGCCCAAGTGGCAACAATGGTCTCCACTCCATTATGGCTGGACATCCTGGCAACATCCAATAGAAAAAAAGTTGGTGAAATTGTACAAATTAAATGCCTTATCACAACACTGTAAGGTTATTTAAGACACTACTCCTTCCTATAAAATTCAACGACAAGTACATCTGGTCCGGGTAGGCAGTTTAATACTTAATAACTGGCACATACTCTGTTCATATTTCTGCTCGGAAGAGACACTGACCACATGGTCTCGTGCTTATGTACTGCTCCCAACACTGACAAGGGTAATCACTACGAAAGGATGAAGACAACTCACGACAGTTACAGGTAGTCACTAGGAATAATGGATGAGGACAACTGGACACTGACTTATTGTGTAAAATCCTTTAAACATGTTCGACAGTGACAAAACTACACTTGCAACTACGAGAATGTCTATCTTCCATAGAAATGAGCCAAAAGGAAAAATTTGTGTAAAGTGCCTTTCCCAAGGACACAATGTCAGACTCAGCTGGGCCTTATAACCCCAAACCCACATTCCTATGATTGTGAGTCAAGTAGCCTAAGCACTAGACTTTCGATGCCAATAGCAAAATTGCAGACAAAACATTTGAATCTTAATTTAAGAAAGTTTCATTCACATGAGGTGGATCAAATATGTAAATTGGGAAATGGGGGGGGGGAGGGGCAGGCAGATAGAAAGACAGAAGCAGAAAATTGTACACAAGTAAATAAAGCCATAACGAACATAAACGTTCACAACGTGGCCTACACACGTATTGTGAATGTGTAGTAGGGGTGACTGTGTGTGTGTGTTTGTGTGTGGGTGGGGGCTTTCAGCAAGCTGGGCATGGATTGTCACAAAAGGTAAAGTAAAAAAGTTTTGCCTGTCTGTTGAAAAGTTATAGACATCAATCTACATAATGACTTGAGGGTTGGCCTATACCTGAAGATTTTGATAAAGCATTTGTAAGTTATAGTATGGTTCACACAAAAACAAAAGATGAAACTTGATCTAGCAAGGTTTTTATTGTTCAGGGACTCTGGCAAGGAAAGCTACCACTTTTACAGGTAACCACTTTCAGGAACGACTGATACTTTCCCTTTTTTAAATCTCGCACTGTCTGTCGTTCACGACTACAATAATGCTCATGTTAATCACACCATTCTTACAGCAAACACTCGGATTCAACAAACTTGAAAGTCAGGCCTGTGACTAAGTCATGCCAAGTCCCATACTTATAGTACAATGCAAATGAGAAAAATAGATGAAGACAACAGTAGTGAGCCAGGCAGAGAGACACAAAGAGACAGCCAAAAAGATTGAATACATGTAAACTTCAAGCGCTCACCAGGGTCGGGTCATCAGTTCATTGAGGCAGTTACTGGCTCTCAGGTCAAGGAAAGGTTCCTCCAGTATCATATCACAGCTGGGGAAAAGGAGAGACCGGTCATCAAAAAACAATCAGCGATTAAAAAGATGACTGGGTGCAAGTCTCTGACAAAAGACAAATTGTACAACAATATTTGTCATCGTCCTGCATCCAGCCATAGATATCATGCATATCCCATCAGAAGAAAATTAATTGAAAGTAAAGAAATGAGACACTTAAGACATTAGTCATGAAAATGTGTGAGCAATTCCAAAAGGAACTAAATATAAAATCAGGGGATGTGTTGTGTCAAAAGTAATCAGGCAGCAAACAAAAATAGAAAGAAAAAGAAAAGGAAGCAGTTATGACAACAAGACTGATCAAAGGAAGAAAGAAAGAAATTTTACTGCAAGAGGAATGGGAATGAAATGAAATTTTAAAATGTTATCACCACAAGTACATACATCTTTGACTCCTGATGTAACATGTTTGATAGTGTACACAGCATGCTGAAGAGCATGAATATATACACATTATATCAATGCAGTTATCATTACACTATTATTATCAAATTGTCTTGACTAATTTAGAGACTCTAGAGTCCATATTTCTTAGCAGCAACCCTTGTCTTTCCCAAGTCATATATCCCCACCTAGTCTTCATTTGAAGAAAGATGTCACACCCCCCCCCCCCCCCCCCCCCCCCCGTTTCTTTCAGCAATAACAACGAATCCACAGAACATCTGTCTATCTCTCTCTGTCTCTATCTCTGTCTCTCTCTCTCTGTCCCTCTCTCTCTCCCCCCCTCTCTCTCTCTCTCTCTATCTCTCTCTTAGACACACACCTGAAGACTACAGGGAAAACAATAACATACGACAGTAGTCACAAACTGTAAATCGTGAGGGTACCAATTTTGAACGCTGGATGACTCATTACTGTACTTCTGTTCAACTGTTGGTTGATTATTGTTGTTAGATTTCCGATTCGACAACACATAACAATAAACCACCTGTCAAACAAATAGGAAGTTATGAGTCCACAAGCTTTTAAAATTGGCACCCTCACAATTTCCAGTTTGTGACTACCCTCGTTTTTCCCTTGTAGTCCTCACCTACAGACTATTTCATCCACAGATGGCCAACACTAACCATTCTTTGGCCAGCACCAGGAAGCGGTCGGTCAGCTGTTGGAAGGGGTCGCGTCGGATCTGCTCCGTCTCGTCGTGGTCTCCCTCCTCGGCATACTCGTTCTTAATGTAACGTTTGCGGAGCTCCTTCATGTACTCTCCAAATGCCACACAGTTGTTAGTGTTGGCAATCTGTGGGTGAAACCGTCAGTTTGTAGGTGTGTGTGTGTGTGTGTGTGTGTGTGTGTGTGTGTGTGTGTGTGTGTGTGTGTGTGTGTGTGAGTGTGTGTGTGTGTGAGTGAGAGAGAGAGAGAGAGAGAGAGAGAGAGAGAGAGAGAGAGAGAGAGAGAGAGAGAGAGAGAGAGAGAGTGAGTGAGAAAGAAAGACAGAGAGATACCGAGAGAGTAAAAGAAAGAAAGAGAGAGATAGAGAGAAAGAAAGAGGGATGCTGAGTGAAAGAAAGAGAACGAAAAAAAGAAATGGAGAGAACGAGAGGGAGATTCTCTGAAGGAATGGAACTCATGCACATTTCCTTGCATGTTCTTTGTGCCTGAGCAAGTATATGTGTGTGTGTGTGTGTGTGTGTGTGTGTGTGTCTCTGTCTGTGTGTGTGTGTGAGTGTGTGTGTGTGTGAGTGTGTGTGTGTGTGAGTGTGTGTGTGTGTGTATGTGTGTATGAGAGTGTTTTTGCTAATTTGTGTGTCACGTACATCTGCTCATACTGCTACATATCATTCACACAGCACAAATGTACATTTTATGTACATAAAATGCAAGTGATAGAGGTCATTATTCTAGATAACACTGCAAACAATATGCACATACCAAATAATGCAGGAAATACTTGGGTTCCTTCCTGTCTGCTAGATGTTTCTCTTCATAAAGCTTGAGCTCCGCTGAAAAGAGATTTTTGATTACGAGTTTTAAAGTAAGCAGAAGTTTCGTAGCACAACTACCAGTATGAAAAATAGTACACATTGTTTTTCTCATTTGTTTGTTTCAGTAAACGTTACATGGAACTTGCAACATAGTTGGGTCATAGAAGTGGTGAAGATTAGAGATGTTACAAGGGAGTAACAAATGTTCCTGAAGTGTAAATCACAGTATTTGTACAGTAAGGGCAATTTTCTGAGCAATCAGTGGCTTACATTTAGAAAGATTTGAAAACATTATGTGAAAGGTCAGTTTACAGTTGTGTGCACATTTTGGAAAAAAACAACCCTTAAATAATAGCCAAAACAGAGCATAATAAATGTGTTCTTTCATAAAGAAGATAGGATATAAGTTGCAGTTAAGTTTTTATGCACACCTGTCAAACCTAATGAAGTAGCTCACAAGTTTATTGAAAAGAGGTTTCAAGGTGTACACTTACGGTCAGGAAAAGACAAGATAGACAGACAAAATAGAGGGAAAGAAGAGAAGTTGTAGTATAATCGTATCCGTAAGTTCACACAAAAACGTACTGCTGTACTCATTGGAAAATCGATTGAGTTCTTCAGCAAACAACTCCAAAACTTTCTTCACCAACTCCTGGCCGATAATGTTTGCAACTTGCAGCTGAAACAAAGAACAAATGTAAGAAAGGAATTACTTTTGCCAGAAAGCGTAATGGTTAAGTTCTTTGAACACAGAAGATGTGAGTTCAATTCTTGAACGGGGAAGTTATTTAATCAGCTATTTCTTTCTGTCTGATGGGATGCTGCATCTAATTCTGACTAGGTTGGCTCCAATAGGCATTGCCAAGGCAGCCCTCCTTATCATTGATTTAAATTGTGTTGAATATCTGTGAGACATTAACAATCATTTTATTTTAGGAGGGAAAGAAAGTTTATAATTTTAATTTCCACAATGCTTGTAAGTCTTGAGGAAAAATGCTTGCCTCAAGTGCCAAAGTAAGATAAGATAAGAAACATCTTTATTGTCCAGATCCTGGTACATTGGTTTGGTGTTTCACCACATGCATACACACACACACACACAGGCTTACAATCACATGCATAATATATATCAGCAGCAATATAAACAATAATAATCTTAAGCTAGATATTAGATACATACTCAATGATATTCTGATCCTACCTGATCTAATTATTATTCCCTTTACGCACTGTCACGAAAAAACTCTGATTAAATTCCGAGATGGAGTTTTCTTTACAAAGCTAGTTCTAACAATGGTGCTGTCTATTACCTAGTACCTTGCTTTCTCATATAAGACAAGACAAGACAAGTCATCCAGGCAGAAACTTTGACAAGATGTAAATAACAGAATAGGCACTACTAATAACCTTAAATTTTTGCCTTAATTGTATCTCCAGTCACGTACACCAATACACAGTGCTCATATGACGTTATACAGTTGCGAGCGCCTTAAAACCTCTACTAAAACAAACAATAAAGTCCAGACTTTCATCAACAGATGTATGAGGAGTACAGTCCATGCCGGCTTTAAGCACGGTCATCGGGAGAAAGCAAAAGCGTGCTTAATGCCGAAGCGTGCTTGAGAGCGAAGTAAACAAAATCCAGAGATTTTCAGGTAGAAAATTTCGCGTGCTATTTCCCTTTGTTTGTAAGTAGGACTACAGCGGTCCTGCAAAAGTGTGCACTGTTATTTTTACCCGCCAAGGTAGTTTTTGTTTGCTTGTTTTGTTTTTGTGTTGTGGTCGAATGGGAAATAAAAACTTAATTTAGACGGCCAGTCACTATACAGCACACTAGGCCTACACACCGCCTATGCGTACCACTACCTGCTGTGCCATGTTCATACCACCGCCTTCATCCCACCTCGCGCGTGATACACAATCAGGATTAATGGATAGCAAGGGTCAAAGGTGAAATCGCAGCCAGCCTCCCTTTCTCGTCTCCCTGACTCTCTTTGTATTTTTTCAGTCTGTGTGTAACTTTGTGGTAGGCTAGATCCTATGTGCACGCACGCGGCTGCGTGCATCTCTCTGCCTTCCTCTCTGCGCGTGTGAGTGTGTGTCTCCATCACTTGCGTTCTCTGTGTTTCTCTTAACACACTCACTGCTGCGGTGTAGACTGTGTTCGATCTTCGGTGGGTCATCATAAAAGTATTGACTGTCTTGTAATGAAGCGTGTCTGCAGCCGAAGTTGCCGTGCTTAAAGACGTGTAATTTACATAGCAAAAATTCGGTAAGAGCCGTTTAGCGTGCTTGAGTCCGAAACGTGCTTTAAGCCGGCGTGCTTAAAGCTGGCACAGACTGTATTCTAAGAATTAAGTGGCAGGATAGAATAAGAAATGAAGAGCTGTGGGAAAGGACAAGACAAAAGGATATAGAAGCAGAAATAGGACTAAGAAAGTGGCGATGGATGGGGCACACCTTAAGAAAGCCCAGTGGAAACATCACAAGACAGTCACTGCAGTGGAACCCACAAGGAGCACGAGGCAGGGGTAAGCCACGAGTAACATTTTAACAAGGAGGAGATGCTTTGAAAGGGACATGAGAGAGATGAAGCTCACTTGGAACAAGCTTGGAAGGAGGGCTCAGGACAGAGATTAATGGAAGGAGCTTGTATGTGGCCTATACCCTGCCAGGGGTGAAAGGCATTGATGATGATGAAAACAAACAAACCAATACACACAAACATATGCATGCACATTTACACACACACATCACACACATTCACATATACATGTTCATACAAAAATGTACATACATACACATTACCAATTTCAGACACATTCTCTAACAGACAAACAAGCACAATGAAACACATAAAAACAGACACTTACAGACACACACAACCCATGACCACAAACACAAACACATACACTTACAGACATAAACAGACACACACAGACACAAACGCACACACACACACACACAAACAGAAACATTCATATTTTCTTGGCATGTCTGCAAACAGCAACAGGGATGGAAACAAAAAAACCAAAAAAATCTCACGTTTTGTTCCATCATCTGGAAGATGATGACCGGCAGCTGGGTGTTGTAGTAACCATCCCCATCCTGGTCTGGCACCTCGTCCTTGACCCAGTCCTGAAACAAGTTGGTTTATTTGTTTGAGTAAAAAGAACATTTTCAAAATTGTATATCTAGGCTTAACACAGGCAACTTTGATAGAAAGACAGGCAGAGGCAGACAGAAGGAAAAGATACTGGACAAGATGACAACATGGCTGGGAGCAGAAAAAACAACTGAGACCATGGCTGCAACGCAAGACAAGAGTGAAGTGGAGGTCCATGATCGCCCACCCCAGTCGGCAAGGCACTGGATGATGATGATAGGCTTAACACCCCTTACAACACTGTAATGTTATTCAGTTTATTTAAGAGGCAAGACCTCCGCACCTAAAATATCATCTCCGATAAGACCGAGCCAAAAGGCAAAATTGTGTAAAATGCCTTTCCCAAGAACGCGCAACATTGCCCTGAGCTGAGCATCAAACTCTCAAACCCACAATCTTATGAACACTAGTATGGCACACAGACACACACACTTAACCGCTGGACTACCGATGCTAGGAGTAAACAGAAGTACATCCACACAAAAAAATGGTTGTATGTAAAAGGAAAAAGTAAGACAGATAGACAGACAGAAACAATAAAGGGAAAATAAAGAAGGAGGAGCTACCAGCAGCACCCTTCAAACACCGGCCTCGCACAGGAGTTAGTACACTGAGGAAACTGTAAGTTGCATGAGAGGAGCACTTGATAATAATACAGGGAGAGTGTTTTAGTTCTTTTTTACGGCGCTCGCAACTGCATAAGGTCGTATGAGCGCCAAGAGGAGGATGTCAACAGAGAAGTCCAAAAGGGGAATCAGGCTAACTCTGCTCGCTTCTCTAGCCTCAACAGCACAAAGTCTGCTTTAACTATCAAGGCACCCCAGAAATAGCAGTTCACAAGAGAATGACAAACATACAAAAGAAGTAGAGGAAAATGTCGATAATAAGGATGTGGAAAGAAAAAGCAGCAGTTCCCCCTATGTTGTTCCGGCACAGTATGAGCATGACATTGATAAATCAGGCCATGTACAATTCTACTGTGCATAAGAACATGTTAATTCCTCCCCTTTGAGAATGGCCTAAAGACAACTTCAGTCATTACACTGCCCTGGTGGAGGAAGTGTTTTAGTTCAAGACCTGGGGGTGATTAAGAGCTGGATAAAAAGAAAGAAAGGCAGAAACAGTAAAAGGGCAGAAGAAAAGTATTGCTAACTTTTGACGCCTTCAAATTTTAATGAAAGACAAGCACAGAGACATGATGATGATTCTACATCCCCCTTGTACATCAACTTCCATAGTAGCATGGGGCACTGATAATTCCCCTCGAAAGATGTCTATCTTGAATATCTTTCTCCAGCTGTGTCTAAATTTTGTTAGGTATCTTTGTACCTGCCTCAACCATTCTCCATCAAGTTGTTCTTGGTACTTCTTTTCTTTCTCTGACCCAGCACACTCAATTTCAGCATCTAAATAATCAATTTTCTTAATGTGTCCGTGGAAGCAGAGTCTTCCAGTTGAACACAATCACACAAATGACTACACTACCCTCTCACTTTGCTTGATACAACTTTAATGGAATTTTTTTCCGTTCCTCACACGTTTCAACAGAGAATCCTGAACACCTGATAGACAAGCTCACCTTCATGTCTGACTTGAGCGTGTTTCTGCTCCATTCTGTGATGTTCTGCTTCATGTTTTTAAGATATCTGAAACAGTCACACAAAAAAAACCCCCAAATCATTCCATTTTGTCAAAAGTTTACATTTTCCAATAGTTCTGAAACTTCAGGTGTAAAAAAAAAATTGAAAGTTACACTAGAAAAGATACCAACTACAGGATATGAAATGTAATACAAATGTGTTCGCCTGGATTTGTCTGGCTTATTTGAGTAAAGACAAACACATCAACATAACAACAGCTTTGCGGTGGAAGGAAAAAAAGCAAAGCACACAGACAGAAACAACAGACAGAGGGAAAAGAAACTTGACCTGATAGAGACACACTCCAAGCACCCATTAGAAACACAGACAAGAGGCAGAACTAGCAGGCCAGACCAGAACTCCTGCCCATACAAACGCCTTTTTAAAAGTTTTAGTAGAGGTTTTACGGCATTCCCAACTGCATAAGGTCATATGAGCGCCAAGGGGTGGATGTCAACAGAGAAGTCCTAACAGGGAATCAGACTTACTCTGCTCACCTCTCTAGCTTCAATAGCACAAAGTCTGCTTCGACTATCAAGGCACCCTGGAAATAGCCGGTCACAAGAGTGTGACAAACATACAAAAGAAGTAGAGGAAAATGACGATAGTAAGGATTTGGAAAGAAAAAGCAGCAGTTCCCTGTTGTAGTTCAGGCACAATTACGAGCATGACATTGTTAGATCAGCCCATTTACAATTCTACTATGCACTAGAACGAGAAATATCCCTCCTTTGGGAATGGCCTAAAGACACTTCCTTGAGTGGCACCGCCCCAGGGGCGGTAAAACCCTTTGGAAGGAGAGCAGACAGACAAAGAATAGAAAACAATAAATCAGAAACCAAACACGCTATAAAGAATTCAACAGCCCCCCCCCCCCCCCCCCATAAAACGATGTCGCTTCTCTCGCCGAATGTACCACTAGCTAAGACCCCCAAGGACCATGTCTGACTCACAGGTTGCGGAGATGTACAATAAAGTTGTGCTCTAGGAGAGGTCCTAGTTCCTTCACATCGATGTTCAACTCTGGATGGCGCATCAATTCTGGTGAGCTGCAAAACAAAACAATGGTCAGGGAGTGGAACAAAGATGGAAATTACCCTTTGTATACCCCTTATCACCCCCACCCCCTTCTTTTAAAAAAAAATCCCGAGCTTGATGTGACAAGTACAACAATGAAAAAGAAAACAAAAACAAAATCAAAACAAAACACCAACATAAATCCAAAGCATTTATTCTGCTTTTTAATTGTTAAATGGAAAATCTTGTTCCGCATTACCTGTTCTTTGTTGGGCCCGATCCTGGTTCTATGTCGCACATATACTACGGGGGCTACATATTCTAACTTCATTTTTAGGAAAAATTGTTCTTATCATAAATGAATAAAAAAGTAAAGTCGTTCCCGCATCCAATCTGGACATTGGGAATTTCCTTGTTAGTGAGACAACTTCCTGGGCCTTCGGCATATTGTGGTAGGGTGGACAGTTCCTTTCCCCAACTTGAAGTCAGGTACCCATTACTGCTGGGTGGGCAGGTGGGGCGAAAAAAATCCGTGTCCGAACAGAGGCTGGAACCTGGACTTCAGAGAGGAGCGAACTAACCGCTCCGCCACCGCACTCTGCATAAATGAGTATCAAAGTAAATTGTGTCGGTTTGAGTATAAAACATAACAATCACGAGAAAAAAAGAATCCACTTACTCGTATGCTCCCACCCACTGCAACAGAGAAACAATCTCGTTGCCCTCCAGTTCCTGATGTATCATGTCCTCCAGCTGTGGAGCATGGGGAAAAGCAAAGAGATAAAATCATCTTTTATCAGTAACAATTTTTTTCTCAATTAAAAAGGAAAAACCTTATAGTTTATGCAGTCGCGAGCGGAGTAAAACTTTTACTAAACTAAACTAAACTATACTATACTAAACTATACTAAACTATACTAAACTATACTAAACTATACTATACTAAACTATACTAAACTATACTAAACTATACTATAGCTTCTCAAACAAAGCAACAGCTCATACTGTTGCACCTGCTCTAACAGCCACCTGTTCAAGACAATCACCTCAACAAATAAAATTATTTCCCACTCCCCCCACTCCCCTTCTCTTTTTCTATATCATAAGGACACCGTCCAAACAGGACCATCTGTCTAAGATGACCCCTTTCCTCCTCGACAATGGTTGGCTGTCTTAGGTAGATTTGACTGTACGTGTGTTTCATTATGAATGAATGGTGCTTCCTTGCCCTGTTTCTTCCTTGAAAAAAAAATTAGCAATCACATCCATGTTACCTATAAGTCATACCTAGACCAACGTACCACTCCCAATAGACAAGATAAAAGAGTTTTAAATTTGAGAAGTGTGCTGACAAAATGAGCTACTTCTCGAATTCGAGCCCAATGGAAATAGAAACATCATGCAAATAGTTGAAGTTTTTACAGTTTATAAGTATGAAATAATAAAAGGCATGCTATACTTAAAGAATATGGTTTACAAAAGAATATCTACAACTTTGACCGTAGTGTTAATTTTTTACAAATATATCGATTTGTGGATTGCGAGAAGTAACTCATTTAGTCAGCATGCCTCACATTTAATAACTTTCTTGTTTGAATGTTGTATTTTGTATCTTCTCCACTTGAAAATTTGAAAAAATAAACATCCACTACATATCACTTTCAATTCAGAAAAGCATAAAGACTGACTAAAACTTGAGGTCACTGCAAATATTTTGAACAGACCTTTAGAGAATGGAAGAGAAATGACTACATAATTTATAAACATTCTACTTTTCACCCAAAAAGTGAATGAGACAGAAGAATTCTATTGTACTTTCTAAACATAGAAGAAAAAGAATAATAAAGAGAAAAGTCCACTAACATGTAGAGAGAGAGACTTGTGGTACATCTTGGTGTATCTTTTGACGATGTTGTACTCTGGTGGGAACACTGGAGGCAGCAACGTCTGCGGAACAACAACAAATGGGGATAACAAATATGAAATGGAAGAGAGGAATACAAGGTTTTCTCTTTTCTATTGGTTATAGTATGGGTTAAAGGCCCCTTTCAATATTGTTAATTTTTTGACTCTTTATCTCCGGCAAGCCGCTCCCAGTGACTCACGGTCGGAACCCCTGTGCCGGTGAGCCGAAATCCTTTACGACGACTTTGATCTCTCTTATCGGGAGTTCATTCATTAGATGAAGAACTATCAAAATAGGTACACTTGTTTTGATTTAATGACCCATTTAGTGAGGATTTTGTCATTTTTAGATTTAGTACCAAAAGAGGACCCAAGCATAGTGGGGAGATAAAGAGTAAAGATGCGGGACTTTCAAATTAAGTGTCCATCTTGGATAGGACCAAGCTAAATAGGCGGAGAGCCTTAAAAACTCCCTAAAACAACCGGAGCTCTTAACACCCAATTGGGGAGTCAAGCCAGGGCTATCATCTGCGTAGTTCAGCATAATTCCAGCCAAGCTAACTGTGTGCCTACTTCTTTCCCCAGAACTACAATTCAATGCACACCAGATTGGATGACCTGTTCTCAGGAAATCCGTGACCTCAAACTTTATCTTTAAAACTCTTCCTTTGCTCCTTCACTATCCTTGCCCTCCTCACTTTACCAGCCAGCCAACAACTGTGGCTGGTACACTGCTGTCATAATTATTAACACAGTGCTTTGAGACAGGCAGTCTGTGGGATATGTCCTTAAGGAACAAAATATAACTTAGCTGAAAGATGAAAATAAAGGTGCTGCACCATCAGCAATAGAATGAAATTATTTGCACTGATATTACTAATGTACTGGGGCCATGGATCTAATCTGATGCATTTCAAAATGTATGGTTTATGACAGAGTTTTACACTAAGCAATCAATCTGCACATCAAAATCTGACTCCATTTGAGTTGAGGGACTTCCAGTCACCTACTCCAGAGTTCAGATCTGGCAAACAGAACGCAGTAGAAGAAGAAGAACAGACCTTGACCACCTTGAGGTCATCTATCATGATCTGGCGTGTGATCTCCAAGTGTCTGACCAGCCACATCTTGTTCTGGTCTCGCGTCTCCAGCTGGCTACCCTCAATCCTACTCACAGGACACAAAAAATAACAGCAATCATAATTAATAATAATGATGATGACGATGAAAGTCTGATAATGAGGATGAAAACAAAAACAACAATAATAATAATAATAATAATAAAAATAACAACAATAACAATAATATTAATAATAATAATGATAATAAAATAATATTAGTGATCATAATAATTTAAAAAACGAATAAATAATAATAATAGTAATAATAATCATTATTATATTATGACAATAATAATAAAAACAATAATACTAAAAACATCTAAGGATCTCTATGTGGAAATTTCATTCACAATGGGAAATAGATGGCATTCATAAAGTAATACAGAAGTTACACCAGTGACACATGGTGCATTATATCACACCAACAAGAAAAGCAAACATTACCGGTCACCACTGGGCAGCATTCTCTTTTTGAGATAGAATTGTATAATTTTGTACGAGTTTTGTTTCAGTTTCAGCAAGCGTTTTATGGCCACTGCAAAACAATAAGGTTATATAAGTGCCGAAGATTAGAAGTGTTACAAGAGAGTAACAAACACAAAACAAAAGGAGGAGAGATAAGGACGATAGATGTTTGATATGAAAGATGGAGCAAACCACACCAGAGTACCCGCCAACTACCAACTTGTACAAGTTTAACAAAGACAGGAATAGCCTGTTAGAGAGGCAGACTACAGGGCTTAGTTCTTTGGTTTTAGTCGGGAAGTACACAGACGAACTTGCGTATGAAAACGACCAAAAGGAACAATACAGAATGCGACGCAGACAAACATAAGCAACAGAGGGAAAGAAAAAAAACAGTAGGACCTATCAATGGTGCCCACTATCATCTGCCCTTCTCAGTCGTTGCATTGAAATAAAAGAAGACAGACAAAAGGAAAGAAGAGGCAGATGACGTACCAAGAATATTTTTCTCTGCATATCCCACACGAACTACAGAGCATGGGAGTTCAACGTGTTATTCAGTGATTTACAGTGAGTTCATATAATAATCACAATATCAAGCCAGGAATAAATTAGCATGAAAGGAAGAAGCAGGAGCAGACCATACGAGAGTGACCTCTAACCATTAAGAGAAGATTATGAAAGTCACCAGGAAAGGTTGAGTATCGACAAAAATGCTGAAAAAGACAACAGGACTCCAAACAATGACAAGAATTTTTTTTTTAAAGTGCAAAGCGCCACATAACTATTTAACACATTGAATATCAAGAAATATGAAAGACAACACTTACCTGGCAGAGATGGAAGTCTCCAGGACCTCAAAACATTTCGCCCGCCACTGTTTGGGTCGTCCTGGTGGCATGAATCCTGTCTGATCGCACTTACGTGTCCAGGCTACATCCATTCTGAGGGGTGAGAAAAGGAGAATATATACAACTGCAAGTGACCATCATCGTTGCCTTTCTCACCCTGCACCAGGGTATAGACCACAGACATACACTTTACACCTTTCTCTATCCTGGGCTCACATCTTGATGTTATTCCATGTCTTCCCACTTTTCTCTATATCAATTTCTGTGATTCTTCAAGAGGTTCCACACGGTCTCCCCCTTGATCTTTTACCCTATGGATTCCAATCCAACACTTTCTTTGTTATGCAGCTGTCCGACTTCCTGAGGGTATGTCTGATCCATCGCCACCGCCTGCAAGTGGATAGCTCAGATGTTTCCATGCTGGACTGTGGAGTGGATGATCCTAGATCGAATCCCAAACAGGGTTGTTTTATGGAGCTTTTAAGGCTCCCCAGCCACTTAGCTCAGTCCCATAGGAGATATCATCATCATCATCCAGAGCCAGATCTGCCACAGACATCGGCGATCATGGTTCTCCATTCATTCCTTTGCTTGGATGATCTTGAAAAAGCTACGTTTCTCTGATCATTCCCTGTTACCCATTTGTTTAGGTTCCTTAAGTAGGTTGCTTTGGGCCTACCTATTCCTTCAATTTTGCCAGTGAGAGCTAGATGTTCAAGGCCTTTATGTCTATTCAGGTGTCTCAAAAACTGCATTTGTCGTTTCCTGATTGTTTTTAACAGGGAGCGTCCCACGTGAGCTTCATCAAGCACTACCTCATTTGACTTCTTTTCCTTCCACGATATTTTCAGTAGTCTCCCAAGAAACCACATTTCTGTTGCTTCTATTTTATTTTCACTGTCTTTAGTGATTGTCCAACATTCACAGCCATATAGAAGGGTTGACTATACATAGCATTTGAGAGATAGTCATTAAATTAGGAGGTCTTGCCTCTTAAGTTTAATGGCATTACAAAAAACCCTGTATTAAAAAAAGTGCACAAACCTTTACTGTGGGTTATATAATACAAAATACAAAAACTTTTACAAACGTGTCACACAAAAAAAACCCACTCACCTTTCCTCTCGCTCCACAATTCTCAGCGCGGTGCAGATGAGTGTGGGCTCGCGTCTCACAGACATGAGCGTGCGCTGAATGATGACCCACAGCTGTTTGCCCAGCTCCTTGGACAAGTCCTGGACCTCCGAGAAGTACGTGTTGACCGTCTGTGGAAAAAGGGAAGAGGAAAGAATAAATGAACAGATGGAAAAACATTAAACTGGAAATAAAATAGTTTCCTCTTTCACAGAATGGTGAGTCTAAAACCAAAACTGTAACGTTGATATTTGACTACAGAGTAGCAAGTTGACACAATAAGGGTCATATGTGAGGCGTGCTGACAAAAAAGGAGTTACTTCTCTTCATCCACAAACGGAGATTTTGGCCAAAAATTGACACCAGGATCAAATTTGTAGATTTTCTATTGATGTTTTATTCTTTGAGTAAACATGCCTTTTATTATTTCATACTTATTAATTGTACCAATTTCACCTATAAGCGTGTGTTTCTTTTTCCATAAGGCTCAAATCTGAGAAGTAACTCATTTTGTCAACACGCCTCACATATAATACAGAGTAAAAGTAATTTTTATTAAATTTTATAGCACTTCCAACCCAAATAAGTCATACAAGCGCAAAAGATTAGAGATGTTACAAGAGAGTAACATACAAATACAAGGAGGGAAGATAAGGACAACAGATGTTTGATGGGCAAGAAGGAGCAGACCACACCAGAGCACCTGCTAAATACCCACAGGAAAAAGTAAGAAAGATAGAACCAAAAGAGGGGGAAAAAAGAAGTAAAACCCAACAGTAACACCCTCCAACCATCCACGAGAACATAGGCAAAATCTACAACATAGAAGGATCATTTTACTGCAGTAGGATTTCAATTCCACCTCCCTTGACTTCTGGGAACACATTACCTTTGAACTATAGGATTGCACAAAACCGCTGTGTAATCCATCAGAACCTATGACCTATGACCTGTGATCGTAAAAAGAAGCTTACGTTTTTGTCTGTTGGGCTCTGGTTGGGCTGTTTGTGCATTGCCAGCAGAAGGTCATCTCGCGACATCTCAAGGTCAGTCAGGCTGATACAGACAGAAGGAAAACAAGACGATTTGTCATATTTTGTTAGTTAAACAGATAATACTATATGAATGATATATGAAGATAAAAGTGGAAAAAAAACAGGCCACAACGATTCATCAGCTATTCCTTCAAATATGCAATGGCATCACCAGACAATACTAAGCACATCATAAGTAAAGAAAAAAACCACCAAGTTTCACGTGAATCACTGACTTTTAGCAAAAAAATCAGAAAAGGTAATAAAACCCATTCAGGATAAAGTGAGACGAAAGGATACAACAGGTTTTTTGCACTCAAAAGAGAACCTGTCCATGATAATCACTTAAGTAATGACTATTTCCCACTTCTCCCCTTACATCTTTTTTTCAATATTTTAATGAAGATATCCAAGAAAACCACATGTCAAGATGACCTCTTTTCTCCCCAACAAAGAGAAGCTGTCTTGGACAAGTTTGACTACAGTCTGATAGTATAAAGACACACAACAGTCTGGAAAACGATATTTTTCACAAGAAAAGTACCATTAAAGCAGAAAGGGGATATCTCCCCCCAACACCCCCCCCCCCCCCCCCCAATTAAAAAAAAGACGACGGAGTCGAGACATCTCTAAATAAATGGAGACAAGAGCCACCAAAACTGCAAGCATGGCACTAATCAGAACTGTACTCTACATGATACAAAGAAAGCCACCTACAATTCAAACACGCAAGCTCCAAAGAGGACTACCATTTCGCAGTATTATTTTTATAGACCCTTTAAGTACTGAGGTTTATCACATAAATATAAAAGGTGAAAACAACATGGAGCTGACAGACTAGCACAAAGGACAGAAACACTTAAACTTACAACAAGAAGTGAGATCTTAATAATAATAATAATAATAAGTAGCATTTGTATAGCGCATACCCCTGTTCAACAGCAAGCTCAATGCACTTTACACTATATTATTACCCCAGCAGACCATAGAACACTCAGAAACATTCTCAGCTTCCCGGGAAGCATACAGTGCAAGCAGCTGATTAAGCGCTCAAACACAAACAAACTGGCAAGATCTTTCTCTGTCTATAGCTGGGTACCCATTCCCATCATCTTACTGTTTATGAGCCTGTAAGAGCTTTCCCTCCATGATGAGCTCTTTCGTCTTCTTCACACTCTCAGGGACAGTAAAGATGTGCTTCAGATTTTCCTGAGCTGCAGATAACTGAAACAAAACAAAGCCAGAAAAACTACTTTGAATATTTGTTTAGTTTTAGTAAGAGTTTTACGGCACTTGCAACACAATAAGGTTAAAAAGTGACGAAGATTAGAGGTATAACAAAAGAGTAACAAACACAAAAAAGAAGAAGGAGAGATCAGGACGATAGATGTTTGATAGGAAAGAAGGAGCAAACCACACCAGAGCACCCACCGACTGCCCACATTTGAATACTATTGCCGCCTCAGAACTATTTAGTCCAGAGTGCACTTTAGACAAAATAGTTCAGAGGCAACAAATATATAGAAAGGTGGATACAAATTCCTGGGCTTTGCTCTGGGGACCTATTAAAGCACAAACTTGGAATCTAAACTTTCTCAAAACTGGAATAATTCTCATGAAACACATGACATGAAGCTACTTTTATTATAACTGTCAAGAAAAGGAACTGCATTAAGTGTTTTAGTGATATTCAGAGTTATGCTTCTGACTCTTTGAAGACGCGTCAGCGGATAATCAGCCGACAGGAGAACCTACCGTAGTCACCGTATCAGCGGATAATCTGCTGACGATTTTAAACGTATTTATTTGCTAAATTAGAGCTCTAAGATGGACAACCCCTATGTCATTGCAAAGCTCGTCCAAAGCCCTATAATTTGGTTGATTCCTTTTATTTGCTTTTGAATTAGGATCGCTTTGCATGGTGTTTGTTTTAGGCCCATTGTTTCGCACGAAATGTCGCAGTTTCTATCCAAAATGGTGAGCTCTAGGCGACGGGGTGTGATGCGGACTGAAGAAGCTTCGGAGTATTTTATGGATGATGGCAGTGATGAGGAGGTAGACTTAAAGTGCGAAAAAGAAAGTTCAGATGACAGTGATTATGAATCTGTACCATTGGTAGGTAGATCTACCTGACCCACAAGTCTCATCTTGTCAAAAATGTTTTCCTTTCGAGGGAAACTATAGTGATCTTGTAGCCTCCATCGGGGTAAGACTGGTATTGTGAATGTATGATTGATTGGTATTAGAGAAAAAAAAGAGAAATTGTACATTTTAGAGGTGTAAGTAGGATTTTTGCACTGTTGATAGGAAATAAATAGTAAAAAATGGCAAAGAAGGTGCGTCACAGGGTATCAAGAAAGGGAAAGTGGGTGCGTCTTCAAAGAATTAAGAGAACATTACGATTATACTAGCAACTGCACCAAGACAGCCACAGTCTACTTTATCATTTTTATCTTCAGAAAAAGACAATTATCTAAAAAAACAGGTGCATTTTTATTGGGATCCTCCTAATTTCATTCCGGGAAAGCAAAATCAGGTGCCCACCTGACAGAATCTGCTGTTTTCCGCCTTCAGTTTCTTCAGAGTCTGATGTAAAGGCTCAATGATACGGTAGTTCTCCTCAATCTCGTCCAAGCTGCAAAAGAAAATATTGAATACAGATTAAATTAAATAAAATGTGATTCCACAGCTTTTAAGACACTAAAATAGACTCATTCAAACATTTCACACTAGAACTAATCAAATCTAACATCAAATGGCAAACAGAAGTGCCAATCCCCCTGACAACCAAATCTAGGACAATTTTTTAAAATCCATGAAGAAGTGCAGTTTGGGTCAAAAATAGAAATAAAATACGAGTCACTTGACTACAATAAATTAAAGCTATTGAATGATTTGCCTGCCCGGATATCATCTCATGGCAGTTGAAAAGAAGAATCCTTTTTTTTTTTTTTTTTTGGTGCAAAAGGGTGTTTTGAAAGACCGGAAAAACAGCCAAAACTCCAACTTATTTGCATTGTTCTAGGCACAAGGCAGTTCTGAGAGAGCTGCGGAATCGGTCACCACTCAACCTCCATGGCTGAGGAAAAAAGTACTATTTTCCAGCACCAGAGAGATATCAATCTAAGAATGTTGTGGGGTCTATCCTTGTTATCGTCCTGTCTCCTGTCCCATGCTGTTCGATAAACTTGCTTAGTGTACTGTTCTGACATTTAGTATCTGTGTATTTGAAACTAGCAACTTCCTTGATATGCGCATGCGCAATAAAGCAGTCTCAACGACAACAACATAGTCTCGAGATCCGAACCGATTTACTCTGTCAGTGTCGAGTGAATGAAGCCTTAACATTATGTTGCTGATACTAGCTCTAGAAAGTAAATGCTAGTTCTTGTATTCCTACAATGTTACAATTTGCTAAATTCATTTCAAATAGCAGTGGTATTTTTCTTACATTTAGCTGAAACTGAAGCTGTCTACTTCATTCACAACCTGACTCTCTCTCTCTCTTTCATTATTTCTCTTTCTTTTCCTCCCTCTCTAAATAAATATATACACTGAACTTGTACAGGTTCGTAAAATTCATTTCAGAAAAGAAATAACTATGGCTAACCTCTGTTTTATCTGGTAAACATCTTGTAGAGCACTCTGCAACTGGTTCAAACCAGTCCGAACCCCATCCAGTTGGGACTGAACAGCAGTTTTCAGCATAGCTTCCACTGAGGCCTAAAAAGAGGGGCAGAGGTTCATGAATATGTTTTTCATGAAAAATAAACTTTGGAAGTGAAATCGTGTGATGATGGTCACAAAGTGATAAAGATGATAAAAGAAAACAAATAATATCAGTAAAAATAAGAAAGAAATTGGTCAAAATTCAGACTTGAGGATATGATAGTGTTTCGATGAGATTTATAATTACAACGACAGTTCGGAAAGAACAAAAATCTGACCACACAAGCACAACAATCATCTGTTGTTCATTTATAAATAAATACAAGACCTATTTAACAACTATTTATACACCCACTTTAAAAAACCTCACCATCAGTAGGATGAAACCACTTTGAAGCCCACCCCCCAAAAAAAAATAACGATGGCTTTAAAATAATAACTTGACATCTGCAAATAAATCCACCCTGTAAGGGGAAAAACACTCACTCATGATATTCTTACTTACCTTTTTCCTTGCAACTCTTCTCTTATACTGATCAACTTTATCCAGTTGATCTGGTCTCTGAAAAAACAACCAATTTAAACATTGACAGAATTTATTTGTAAAGCAAACCATCTGATAAATCATTTCAAATTGGACAAGATGTATAAATAAAATATGACATTCATTATTAGTTAAAATTTAAAAAGGTGTCATGATCATTACTCTTTGAAATATAGCATGGCTTTCAGAGCTAGTCATAAGTAATTTACATATATGGCTCTAAAGAGGCCTAGACTTGGAGAAAAATCCAATTTAAACAATGAAAATAATATATATATAAGACTCATAAACAGCTATGCGAGTCCTGAGAGACTGTAGATAATTAAATGAGGAAACACCATTCATAGACTGGTCAATGTTTGTTCATAAGGAAACAAAATCTTTGTTCTAATTTCTTCAATTTTGAAAAGGATAGCAGCTAGCACCAATTTGGCAAATATGAATGAAAATTAAGAACAAGAAATGAATTTATCACAGTGAATAAGGAATAGTTAGAGGGACTTCATGGGACCAACAATTGTTTTAGGAGAAAAGGACAGTGAGTATATATAATTGCCCTTCATAGTTAACCCATCCTATCTCAAGGCGTACATTTATATTGTCAAAAATAAATCTAAAAACTTAAAATAATATTCAGGTCTGGGGGCTCTCTTGATTTAATCTGACCAAACAAGATGATGTTAAAAACTCATTTAGTGTTAAGTCTTCTGACCATCATATTTGAGACCAAGACTAGACCACAGAATAAAATTATTTAGAAGGCCTGCAGTCCAACGCGCTCTAACAGCCACCAGTATAAAACAATCACCTGATCAAATAGCCACTTCCCATTTTAGTCCTTTCAGTGTTTTGTTCACATTATAATGACAAAGAGTAAGATGTCTACCTGATTAAATTCTAATTTTTCTAACCTAAATAGCAGGAACAGTTCAGTTTTACAAATTGAGTTCATGGGGCTAGCAAGATCTTCTCCAAGGGAACTAGTTAACTCGTCACACGGTGAAGACAACACAACTGAAAAACGTGTCTCAAGTTGACTGAAAAAAAGCCTCCAAATAACAGTAACAGTGAACCCGTCACACCAACTCTCCCGTGTAAACAGTGGTCATCAGCGTTCGCCATTGGTGGGCAAGATATTTTCGCTCTCTCTCTTTCAAGTTCTGAGAGCCACCAGCCATCTTGTACCATTTTAGATTTTTGTTTTATATTGCATACAGTAAAGACATGCACATTTTTAGTAGGTTTTATGTATTGCACCCAAATATGAGTCCGTTTTCTTTAAAATGATGAAACAGAAAGGTTGTCAGGTGTAGATTTTGATTGAATAAACTCTAGTTTTGTATTTTTAAAATATTATATTTAATGAAAGGTGTGGGTTTGCCTGCCAATCCACTGTGAACTCGCAACACGTTTTTCACGAGTTCGAGTTTGTGACGAGATAACTGTGACGAGATCACTGGAGGTGTGTGACGATTTCACCGTGTGACGAGTTAACTGGAAGCCTTCTCCAAAGGGGGGGAGGGGGGCACAAGCTAATATCGTGGCAGGATCCGAAATAACTTGATAGTTAAGTGATCTTCAAAAACAAATGAGCATGTTTTCAAGGCCGAAAGACTCAGACTCAAAATGTCTTTCCCACTGAAGCCGTCACTTCAATCAGATACACATGAGCATAGCCTACATGATATGTGAAAGGAGAGGACTTCCGTAACGAGAGACCAATGTGAGACAGAGAAGAATAGAGGGTTAAGGGTAGGGTTTGAGTTTGGGGTAGGGGTAAGGTCTGGGGTCAGATAGGGGTAGGGTTTGGAGTTCGGGGTAGAGGTAAGGTTTGGGGTAGGGTTTAGGTTTGGAGAAGAGTAAGGGTTAGGTCTCTTCTTTATTGTGTTTTTAAGGTCTCTCATTACGGAAGTCCTTCTTGTGAAAGAATTGGCAAAAATCAGCAGGGGACTATTTCAGTAAAACTAAAGGAAGTGGCTTTTCTCATCCGGGGTGAGAATAGAAATACGATCAACCTCTCACCCCGGGTGAGACTTGCGATTGTAGGCTATTCTCACCCGGTTTGAAACAAGACCTGTTTTTCCTAATTTCGGAATACTTTCTATCGATGTGGATGATCAAGCCAAGAAAAAATTACGTTATAGCACAAAAGTAAGCTAATTTGATCGTCTTCAAAGATGCTATGGCTATTTCACTGTTCGAATCGAGCCGAACTACGCGGGTCGCCATTTTGTTTTGCCCGGAAGTTCTCGCAAGAACTACTCCTCCCCTCTCTCTCTCTCTCTGTCTCTTTCTGAATACTGTCTATCGGTGTGGACGATCAAATTGACCAAAACAAAGTTAAAAAATTATGTTAAAACACAAAAGTAAATTAATTTGGTTGTCTACAAAGATGCTACGGCTATTTAACTTTTCTAATCGAGCCGAACTACGCGGGTCGCCATTTTGTTATGACCGGAAGTTCTCGCGCTACTCCTTTCTCTCTCTCTCTTTCTCTCTCTCTCTCTCCACTGCCCACAGACAAAATTGTATGCTTTTAGTAGGCTACAGTTGTAATGTAACGTTTGTTCACGGCACAGAATTCTACAATTTTTCTGTTATAATCACAGTGTAGAATTCTGGGGTTTAGGGTGAACGCAAAATTTGTTGGCCTAGATCTAGATTCTAGGCTATAACGGTGAACGCGCATCGGGTGAGAATAGCTAAAAGACTCGCCTGCACTATTCTCACCCCGGGTGAGAATAGAGGTGGCCAAAACTAAAAGATCTAACGGTTGCCCCTTACCAGCCGCCCCCCACTTTCCGGCCGATTCGAACTTAGACTGGACTCCGTGCCAATAAAATCGAAATTTTATGACTAAAATGGTTTCAATTGTCAATTTCTTTGCACCTGCACATTCTTTGTTTACCCTACCACACATCCACCATCACAAAAGCCTTGAAGCAGAAAATCCTTTCGTTGTTTGAAGCAGAAAACATATCCAGGTGAGTGCAGCTGCCATTTGTTATCATTCTGAATAAGGCCATGTGGGTCAGCCAAATAAGGTTTCAGCAATCGTATTTCCGGAAGTACTCCTCTTGTGTGAAAGAAAAACATTTTTAGTTGTCTGCTTGGCTTGCCTATTAGCATGTAATGGCTGAAAACGTAATTCCCACTATATGAGTGGGGTGGCCGGTTGAGGGAAACTTTTTTGGCAGTAATTGCCCCCTACCGGCCACTTAAAAATAAGGTCTTAAAAAAGCACATTGATGAGTTATAGAGATCTTTAATGTGAAATTGCTCCAAATATCTTTCAATAAACTTAGCAGTCCATTCTTAACTCGTCTATTATGGACAGTTTTATAGATGCCATTGTCCCCCTCCCACTTTCGACAACCTCCCCTTGCCCCACAAAGTTCATCCAAAAATTCAGGACACAGGATTCAGCCCCCAAAATACGTGTCAGGAGAAAAGTATAAGTATAAGGAGTTTGAGGAGGGAAAAGAACGAGAGGAAAGGGAAAAGAAAGCAGCTGTAGAAGATAGGAAGAGAAAGGGAGAGAAAGAAGGCAGAGAAGATGAAGAGAAAGAGAAAAGGAGACTGGAAAGAGTGGCAAACAAAGAGAAAAAGGACAAGGAAAGAGAGGCTAAAAGGAAGGCTAATGCTGACAACAAGCAAAAAGGAAAGGGCTTGAAGAAGAAGACTGAGGTTGTGGAGAATGAGAGAGAAAATGATCAGGGTGACTCGGATGCAATTGAGTACATGGACAGTTCAGATGAGGAATGCATGGAAGTTCTTGAGCGTATGAGGTCTGAGTATGATGAGAGTCGGTGTTTTGAATGTGGGAATGACAGGGACTTGGATGGATGGATCGGGTGTGACTGAGTGCATGACAAACAACGTGGAGGTCAATGGATGGAGGTTAGTTCGTTACTTTTGTGTATAAATTGATGTTTATATAATGTGGCCGGTATAGGGGAAACAGGTGGCTGGTAAGAGGCAAATACTCCACCGACCGGCCGGTAAGGGGCAACACTGGGGTCCTTCAAAGTTCTATGTCTTATTGTACAAACATAACTCTAAAGAACCAATCTGGCAGTTGCCTCTTATCGGCCAAAGGCCAAGGATTATTTTGCAACATCTTTTTTACAACATGAGTTTCAATTTGTGGTAACTGGGTCAGTTTTTATCCCAAGCTTCCGTAACAAGCCACAGACGCGCGTTAGGCGGCTGGTAAGGGGCAACCGTACTCTAGATCTAGATCTAGATCTATACACACACAACCGATCCCGAAGTGGAAAACGCCATAATACGCGCCTTTCTTTCCTCTTTAATTTGATAGGCGGAAGTAATCCATAAATTGAAAAGAACACTATAAACGAAACAAAACAAATAGGTACCCCCCTCACGGGGCCCGATTTCTGACACAAAACGCGGCGGCCGCAGGTGAACGAAAATCTCGGGCCGCGCTGGCCGATATCCAAGTGCCTATCTATATATCTAAAATCAAGAATCTACCTGCAGTAAACTGGCGACATGCTTCGCAGCAGCTTGCTTTGCCTCCACCTCCAGTCTTCCCAGATCCAAGGGAGCAGGTGCAGGGCCCTGTGAGTGCTCAGGGTCTTCTTCGTCTTCCATACTGCCACTCATGTTGTGCTATGAGTGCTGAACAATTGCTTTTTTATTCGTGTAATTCAGAACTTCGGCCGCTTTTCGTAGACTTCTACAATACTGACTGTAATGTATACAAACTGTGGGGAAGGTGAAACAGGAAGTACCGGGTGGGCGTTTTGGGAGAAAAAAACTTCCGGCTATTCGCACATAGTAGAGAAGAAAACATGCATAAATCTTGCCCGGAAAAGAAAACTAGTTATACAAAACCCCGGTTGGGGGGAAATTTAAGGTAACTGGTGCTCACAAAGAGATTCCGTTAGTCTGTTTCGGTCCTTTGCATTCAAAGATAATGTCATTTGTACAAATTATCTAATTGATTTTTAGGAGGGGGGGGGGGAGGGGAGCGTACCAAGTCCCGCGAAATTTACATTTTTTTTCTTTTGGTAAGTGCACGGCGCTCGCAACTGCATAAGGTCATGTAGAGCGCACAGGACACATTTATCATAGCAGGAAAGGAGGTGAAATAGAGACAATTTTAGAGAAGAAAATTATGTTTCCGTCGCAACCCGGATTCGAACCCGGGACCTTTGAATGAAAGGCGAACACCTTAATCTCTAGGGTCACGAAAGCCCCAGCGTGTTTTGCAGTCCGGTAACTGACTGGGGACCTGCATAATAACTATTATGATTTCTCACACCTAGATTGATTTTCTTTCTGAGAATCACGTGATGATTTAGAGGTTGTCATGGTCGCGTCGTGTGCACGTCCATTCCTTCTTCGGTTAAGATTCCAAAAGCGCGTTTCAGAAGCAGAGCGTATAGTAACAATGATTATGCCAAAAGGGGTTAGAGCGAGGACGCTGCCTTGTGTCAAGCTACCACTTTTTATGATTTTTGCGTGCATGTGTGTGTGTGTGTGTGTGTGTGAGTGAGTGTGTGTGTGTGCGTGTGTGTGTGTGTGTGTGTGTGTGTGTGTGTGTGTGTGTGTGTGTGTGCGTGCGTGCGCGAACACGCGCACATTAAGGATTGTTATAGAGTTGTCGTTTTTCATTGGACTAAGTCTACCCCAGAATTCTCCTTTGAAAAAGAAAGAACAGCACTTGCCTAGGCGGTATGTATAAAAATCCTATATAAAGTTAGTAACAAAACATCCTTTTTGAGGCTTTTGAAAAGCAGTTTTGGGTGACTATTTTTTTCTTTCTTTTTTTCTCACGTTCTGTTGGGCGATTTGCTTTTTCAGCTCTTGTTATGATTGACTAAATACTAAATTGTTTTACGCAGGGCGTCCACATGGACGCAGTAATTAATTTTAGTTTAGACTATTTGATTTGAGGAGCAGACTACTTCGATTACCACAATAAGAACATAATTTATTTATATTATTTCTCCAATACAAGAATCGAGGAGGGGGGGGGGGGGCTCGTGGCCTAGGATCAAGGTTAAGATGTTGGCCTCTCATTCAAAGGTCCCGGGTTCGAATCCGGGTAGCGACCTAAAAAAAATTTTCCTTTCCAACTCTCTTGCAATGTTCTTTCGTCTACTTTCGTCTCCTCTTTCTGCCCCCACCCCCTCACCTCCTTTGACCCCTCCTCTGGGCTCCTGACTCTTTCTGCAGCCTTTCTACTGCTACTCTTTAGCTCCTTACTGCTGTCTCTCAGCCACACCCCACCCCTGATCTTCTAGTAGGAAAGATCTACATCTAGCCTTCTCTGATAAGGGCGAAAAATATCGGGGGTCCCGTGAGCAAGTTGCACACGTTAAAGATCCCTTGATGGTCCAAAATCGATAAAAGAGTTGGCTTCGGCCCCCAACCGGGCAAATTTAAAAAGTCCTACCAACTGCAAAACGTTTAATGTGTCCCGTGAGCTCATATGACCTTATGCAGTAGTGAGCGCCGTAAAACACTTACCCCCGCCTCCCAAAAAAACAAAAACAAAAAACAAACAAACAAACAACAACAAATAATAAATAAAAACAAATCCTATCTCATGGGTCAAGCGACGAAAAGTACGACATGTACAATAATCATGACACTACAGACGCTGGTTCATTGCTGCAGACTGCAACAGTTGCAGGAGTAGCTGACACAATAGCCTTGCTCTTGTTTTGGGGCTCAGTCCATTATGTCGTTCTAAAAAAGTCTCCAATTCCTTGAACATAGGAGCGCCAACTTTTGCTTAGTGGAATTTGTTTGTTGTTTATTTGAGCAAAGAGAAGCACATTTTAAACACAATACCGGTCATTTTGGATTTTATTAATTTTAATATTAAAAAAAAGAACAAGACGGACAGACAGAAACGAAAGGCGGAAGAGAAAAGAAAAGCCTCCACAGGCGTGTGCGCCCTCCAACCAACCCCGTAACTGTAACGGTGGAAAAATAGAAGTACATTGTACATGTACAAGTACCGTAAATAGTCAACAAAAGGCAGTACGCTAATCTGTTTGAGATGATTGGTGGCAACTGAAAGACTTGGATGAGAGAAAATAAATCTTAAAACACACGTAGGCAAATCACCATCATCATTCTTTATCCCCCTGTGCCGGAGAAGTACGGCCACCAACAACAGTTTCTGTCCTGGGCTATTGTCTCAACCTCTGTCCAGCTATATCTCATCTCGTTGAGTTTTAGGTTCAAACCCAAGTACTTTCTCAGAGTATTTTAGGCCTTCACTTTTCTCTCTTTCTTTGCGAATTCCATCTTAAAGCTTTGTGAGTATTGTTTGTTTTAAGTTATCTCAAAGTGTGTCCAATAAACTTCCACTTTCTGATTTCTATATCTTTTTTTAAAAGTAGAGGTTTCACAGCGCTCGCAACTGCATAAGGTCATATTAGCGCCAGAAGATTAGAGTTTTTACAACAGAGTAGCAAACATAAAAAAGAAGAAGGGGAGAAAAAAGACGATAGATGTTTGATAGAAAAGAAGAAGCAAACCACACCAGAGAACCCGCCAACCACCCACTTTCTATATTGACAAGTATTTTCTATTGATTTGTTTGCTCCCAACGTTATTTGTTTCTTCTCGCGTCAAATCGATTAATTTCTAGCTGTCGAAAAAACTACAGCATTTTAGAAGTTTGTTTTATAAGTTTCAAGTAAGCAAATAAAGCAGAACAATTCATACAAACGTTTCATATTATATTTTATTGTCAACAAATGGTGGGGGGAAAATGGTACTTTAGAAATCTTTTGTTGATGGGCATCAGCAATGGCGGTGTTCTATTTAAAGTATTAGTAACCAGAAACAAGATGAAATGATCACTTTGGCAAGATTAGTAGTGCATGTAGAACACAAAATGTGCAATGATTTTCGATGGACTCAACACGATCGTTCTCATATTTTTTAACATAAAAGGGTCTGGCATATACTAACCAGTATAAAAATTTATATATGTATGAAACAGATCTTTCACCAAAAACACTGCAGTCTGACAAAAACCTTAAGAATCATTGTTAATATATAACCAGATAGGTCTTTCAGTCTCATACAGGTGAAAAATATCTTTCAGTACACATCAAACCTTAAAATTAAAAAAGAATCCAAAGTAAACCAAAAATAAATTAATTAAAAAAATAAAATAATAATAATTTTTAAAAAGGGTAGATAGAAAAGCAAAATTTAGGATGGACACTACAACTTAGCTGTAAGTGAAAAATAAGCACCGGAATTGAAAAAGAGGAAATGATGCCTTTTTTCAAAGACCACCCATTACAATGGAGAACAGGTCCTTCATTCACAAAGCTAGCAATGAAAATAAATACACAGGAATTGGTGGCAATATTTAGACAAAACCAGTCGTACTGAGTTGACATTATACATAAGAGACTTGATATATCCCCTGTTCCATAAAGGAGAAATATGCCTGATAAATACCTAAACTAGGTATGGTTTAGAAAGGGTTTAATGTGACCCCCTATTTGATGCCTGTCTCCAAAAAAGACTGTGCCAAGCCATGAAAACTACGCAAACAACCAAGTAAAAAACCCCCCAAAACCCCACCGTGCTGGTAGTTTGAACTCAGGCTATTTACACAGTAATGCGGTACCATGTCAACTGCGCTACTAGTTACATAAACCTCCCCCCTCCCTCCCCCACAGAAATGAAAATTCTCATTTCATGGAAATGTTATAAGTATTTCATCAAAACTTTATCAGACATTAAACAGAAAAAAGTTTTTCAAAAAGTGGGCTCTTGGCTAAAAAGAGAGAGAAAAAGAAACCGAGGAAGAAAAAAAAAGGACATCTAGCCTACACAGCACGAAAATAGCCATTCTTAAGGATAGCATTATGTCTACCATTCTGTTCCGAGCCATGCAAAACAAACAACAACAACAAAAAAAGCTCTTTACAAGCTCAACTCTTTGACATTTAATTTCAATATTATTATCTCACCTTATTCTATGTACAAAGTCCTATAATTTTTTATAAGGACAATTATTTCCTAATTGGTATACACCTTATCCGGATAAAAATTGAGAGTAACATATGCAATATTATTTTCGGGAACCTGGATAATGCAGTGAGAAATTAAACATTTCCATTTTTACCCAAAGCGATTCAGCATTGGAGAATTTCATGAGGAAAAATTAATTCGGAATTTGCAAATTACAACATAGGAGAACGATATTGTGCAAAGAAAAATTTTATTCAAAATTTCTCATGAACTTCAATATGATGAAATTATCAATCATTTTTCACAATATAAAATGTATGACGACATACAGTAGAAAGGTGAACCAATTGTTTCCTACTAAGATTGTTCTAGCATCTGCAAAACAGATGTTTCAACAGACTGACTGTTTTTTTTCCCCTTTCCCCTGCCATTTGATGAAAATGATTTATTAAATCTATAATTCAGCAATTCAAGCAACCCACTCTTCTCTCCCCCCTCCCCCCTTTTCAAACACACAAACATACATATATACAACCACCCCCAAAATTTGATCACAGTATTTTTTAAATTACATTTTCTCTTATAAAAGAGCAGCCGTAGCTTGCCCAGGAACTAGCAGATAAGGGTTGTCTGACACTAACTAATGTTTTTAAAAATTCTAATAAAGTCACATAGCCACAGAACAATAGGCCAGGGACAAGGGAAGCAAAGAAACATACAATGTAGATCTATCTCCTTTTCCACAGGCAAAAGTGATTCAACTATCTCATGTGCCTATAATTACTCTTTTTCTCTTCACACAAGGCAAAAAAAATGCTGGTTAATTATTTTCCTGCTTATTACTTAATTGAAAAAAAGAACCCTAACAACAACTTTGGATGAATAAATGCATGAGAAAAGTTGCTGATCAAATGATACAAAGTAAGTGTTAATGAAATACAACATATAAAATATGAATACATTTTATTTGTGGAGTGGACCCTCAGAAAACATCCCCACCACTACCCTTACCCCCCCCCTGCCTTTTTATTCAAACAAACTTCTGAATAAATCACCACCGCCACCCTCCCCATTTTTTCCCCAAACAAACTTCTGAATAAATCACCACCGCCACCCTCCCCATTCACCCCTTTTCCCCAAACAAACTTCTGAAAATAAAATAAAACATTGCATAATGCAAAAACAATTTGGTTATCAGGACAGAGTAAATGAAAAACAGAGAATTAAAGCCAGAACACCCAATCACTGACAACTTTGGGTAACAAAGTTCTTCAAATCTGGATTTAATAAATCAAACAAAAAACTGATCAAATGATTTAATTCTGTAATTTGGTTTGAAGCACATGAAAGCTGCAAGTACCTTCCTTCTGAAAATACTTTTCAAGGAGGAAACATAATATAAAAAAGAAATTTACTTGAAGCTGAGGAATCAGAGCCCAAGAATCTGTTAGTGAAAATGTTTCGAGCTTACATCCACACAACGAAGACCATTAAGAAGTGGGCATCCTCAACCCAACCTGTCCCGTTCAACTAAACAAAAACGACAGCCTCCCAGCACAAAGATGAAGACGCTCCATAAAATAACTTTCTGAGCATTGGATTTGATTTCACATCTTTTGTAGACAAATCGGAGGGCCTATACATAAAACAAGAGATGTTGGTGAATTTTATATTCTGCAGACAAACAGACAACGAAATATATTGCTTCAAATTAGCCCGAGCTGTTTTTAATTGGAGAACTTAAGAAAAAGGGACCCACAAGGGTACACAGAAGTCCATACACTATTTAGAATAAGCAAGATAATAAAAGAAGAAAAAAATTAAAAACCCAACTTTAGTAGCGTTTAATATATTTGAGTGTGCTATAGCATAGACAAAATTAGAAGAAAAGAAGAAACCACCTATTATCCGAAAGACGGAGACAACATTCACCCTTTGGCATAATAACAAACTCTCTTTAAACAAACATCACAACATTAACTTAATGTTGAACCCGAAGGAAGAATGGGCACTTTGTAAACAGAGTAAAAAAATGAAACATTTCTCATATCCCCCTTTCAATAACTGCCATAAAGGTGTAGTACTTGTATTAGTAAAGCTTTGCTAAAATGAACAAAAACAGAGAAAAAAATAATTCACGTAATAAAATCCTCATTGTCCCTCATATTTCAATGCGTATTCAAAAAATTTATACAGAGGACTGAGGACCATGTCAAAAAAAAAAAAAAGGTGGGGGGAAGGGAGGGATGAGGAGAAGAAGAAATGGAGGATGAAAAAATGAGACAAAAAGGACTCCACCCAGCAAATAACCCTGAAAATACCCTTTATCATCCAACAGGAAATTTTCCAATTCCTATCAGACACCAGACATCTTGACACGAGCCCAAAGGGAACTTTGTACAGAGAGAATCGGCATGATAGAACATGAAGGAATAAATTACTGACTATGGTGAACTATGATGTACATAGGCTTTACAAAGCTTGTGAAGGAGCACAGTCACAGTATCACTCCGCGTCATGGATATAGTGAGACATTGCAAGACAGACAAATCCCAAGCAAGCATACATGTTATATATTAATATCTTCAAACACACATTCACATAAAAAGCAACTGTATCCTTCTTACCTTAAAACATTTATGTATGATGGAGTTCACTTAAACTGAAATCTGCGAGACTGCCTGGCATTCTTTAGTTTAGCCAAGTTTTCCATTTAGAAAGTTTTCTCCCAAAAAACATTTTTTTTTTAAATTGGGAGATTTTCTTTTCCATTTACCACTGGTTTTGGATCAACCATGTTCGGTTTAAATGGACTCCACTATATTCACACTCGATTTTAACACACCTGTCACCATATTTTAGGAATCTCTCAAAATAGACATAGGATTTAATTTTCAAGTCTTTTGAGACAAGACAAGAGCAAACCCTGTTATGGAGGTCCTGGAAACAAAGGAAATCTGGAAGAAATATAATACTAGCAAACACACCTGAGAAGAAGGCCCTAAAGAGTTTTTTTCCTTCAAACAAACGAACTACAGTCGAAAATGCCACAAGGGCCACCAGTTTAAACAACCACTTTCCCCCTTGCATTACAAAAAAATATGCGAGTCATTGCGGTGAATTAGGCCTCATCAAAATACTAAAATAGAAGAAACTGACATTTTTCTGCTCCTTGAGCAATTTCTATTGAATTTTTTTTTGGTTCAACACTTTTTATGTCCAATTGAAAACATAGTTCTGTGTGGAACTCACTGAAAAATGATGAAAAAGCACCAAAATAGAAAATGTAAATTTACAATTTTTAAGGACACTCAAGCTTTGGAATTCACCAAAACTTTGGAGGCCGTTTTTTCACTGGTTCTGGAACCTGGTAGCACTTGTTAAGCAAACACATAATGTTCCATAGCAACCCAGTACAAGGATAAAGAAGCAAAGTACAAAACTGTGCATTTGCTCAAACAGGTTAAATGGTTCAAATATTGTGCAAAAGTTCCTGCAATTTTCTTTACGAGACACAGTTCTTTCAAATCATACAAAACTGAACATAGGTAAAGAAGTGTGAATTTATACAGCAGTTTTAGTATTCCTTTATCAGAGCCATAAGCTGCACTTTGACAAAAGAGAAACCACCAGTCATCTACATAAAAAAACATTCAATTAGCTACCATCAAATGCTCAACTTATATCCCTGCATTTTCACACACCTACAAATTTTAGTTATTTCACTCACCACTTTTGCCATACAAAATGAAATAAATAACATTCATAAGACTGACCCATAAGAAACATTGATTCTTCACAAGACACTGTTCAGAGCAGCAGAAACAATAATCACATACACATAATATATAATTCATATATATATACACAACTTCCCTGAAATGTAATCAAGCTTAAAGAAAAATAAAACAAATCAAGTTATCTGCAGTTAAAGAAAATAATATCAAACATTTTTGCATAATCAACATCAGGGAATAACAAATCATTTGTTATCTTAGGCAGAAAGTGACAGGCAGCCTGAATGTATCAGCGCGGAACCGAAGCAGACAGCTGTCTGAGAGAAAGCGGGAATGTATCTCTCAGAATAAAGGCCCAAGCAAGACAAGAGGCAAAGCTTCTGAGTTTAGCTTACTGAAAAAAAAAAAAGCACAAGAACGCACCAATGCTCCCTATTTTTAAAGCATTTTTTTTAGCCCTCTCAGTTCTACTCATGCCAACTTGTCCATGTCTGTCTTCCATTTCATTCATAATTCATAAAAGGAAAGTCTTCATATTCATGTGAATCATATCAGTAAAAACAACTATACATAAAAACTGTCTCTGAGGTCTCCTTCAGATCATTCACAATTCCAGGGCCTTTACGTCTTCATTTTATGTACAAAGTATTTGACTACAAGTATACCTACAGAATAGAACAGAACAGAATCTGTCTGCAAATTGTCCTTTTCAACATTTTTATTCACCCCCGCCCCCAATCAAAAGCATAGTGAACAGTGCTGAAAAGGAAAGTAGAAAATAGAAACAATTTTTATACTTTAGTACTTTGCTTCCTGTTCCATATTCTTGGTAATGTACGAGTGGATGTCATGAGTTGCTGACACGACACAGAAAATCACATTGTCATCTATTTTTTTAAAGTGGAGAATCTAAATGCAGAAAGAAGTCTATCTACACTGCAGCAACCGAGGGTACCGCTTCATTTCTGCATGGTAACGCCATTCACTTCTTCTGTCTCTGCCGCCAGGACACAAAACCCACCACACATTTGTATAGGACAAGATTATACAAGCACACCAAAAACACAAGATCGCGTCAGATCCCCACGTTAGCACCAGAAAAGACTTGAATTTTCCACTAGACACGTACAAAGATAAACTTGTACCATTTATTTCATTCTATCTTTTATACGTTTACATCCAATGTCTACCTTCTTACCAATCCATGAATTTTTCAGGATTCTGGGAGACAAAGGCTGCTGAAATGACAGGGCAGAGGTCTACATTAGGGAGTTATTATCATGGGGCACCCTTATTACAAAAGCAGTAACTCTTGAGACATTTCCCAGACCCAGGATGCTAAAAAGATGGTGGTGTACCCATACTCCTAGCTTCACATGATTCTTAGTTTCCACCCACATTCAAATCAGATCAAACAAACACACGACCATGCCAGACACACTTGCTGTGAGTGAGCATCACTCTCCACAACTCACAACCCCAAATTCCCACAAACTAAGGTACACGGCGGACTGGCTGAATCTGAGCACGGCAACAACAGCGTCATCTTCTCAGCATGTTTTGTCTCAGCAGCATCACATGGGCTGCGCGGTGCCCCCGCCCATGCTGTTGTAAGCAGGCGGGTTGTCGTATGCGTAGCGCTGCGCCGACCTGCGGTTGGTCCGGGACTCTCCTTGGTCCCCGGCCCCCTGCTCCTCCATCGACTCCTGCACATATTTCTGCTGGTAGACTTTGGCCTTGTTTACAGAGGGACCTGGAGGCAAACACATATACACACACACATAAAGATGTGTTGATTTGGAGTGTTGTAAAGCTTAACTGGAGACAATGGGTTATTTCGGAGATGGAACTTTGGAACAGGAATGGTCTGGTATGGGTTTAGTTGCTGTACCTTTAGTAAGAGTTTTACAACACTTGCAACAAACGGATCATATTTGCTTGTTTGTTTGAGTAAAGAGAAGCACATCGACACAGCGATGGTCATTTAGTGCTGGGAAAAAGTAAGACAGACAGACAGAAACAACACTTACAACATAAATAGATCGAATCGAATAAGTGGCAAAGATTAGAGCTGTTACTAAAGAGTAACAAAGAAAAGAAGAAGTGATACGGACGATAGATGTTAGAAAAGATGGAGCAAACTATAACAGAGTACCTGTCAATTACCCATCTTGAGGAACGCTTCTTAATTATTTTTTTTGTAATAGAGGTTTTTTTATATCCTTATCCACAGATTAAATAATTTAGGTGGGCTATGACCCCGCCTGTTAGGGCCAACTTATGCTGAGAGGGATACAACATCCCATCAGAAAGACAGAGATAACTGATAAAAATTCTCCCCACTCATGAATCGAGCTCTCGTCTTGTCCGTGTGACAATGAAGCACCTAACAGCTACAGTACACCACAGAAGCTGTCTTTGAGTGATGCAAGGAAACAAACACGGAACACTTACCGAGATAGCTCAAGAGCACGGGAAGGAAGATGAGGCCGTGGGTGGCCCCAAAGATGACCATGCCCAGGTACATTCTGAAGTAGAACACCTGGAACAGCTGCGACTTGGAGAAGCCCAGGACGATGATGCCACCCAGCTTGGTAAGGGTGATGCCACTCAGGACCTGTGACAGACATAAAAAAAAATTTGTTGTCGTTTTTCTAACATTTTACACTCAAGACTCGTGTTGAGGCTTTGTTTTTCGTTTTAGTAGAAGTTTTACGGCGCTCGCAACTGCATATGGTCATATGAGCGCCAAAAGATTAGAGGCATTACAAGCGAGTAACAAACACAAAAAAGAAGGAGGAGAGATCAGGACGACAGATGTTCGACGGGAAAGAAGGAGCAAACCACACCAGAGCACCCGCCAACCTTCCACGAGGCTTTGTTTATTTCACATTTTAGAGTAAAAGGTATTCTTGGGGTGAGAATTCCTTTAATCTACACTTTACACTCAAGAATGATCTCGTGTTGAGGCCTTATTTATTTAACACTTTAATGCTAAAAAATATTCTTAAGTTGACCATTCCTTTCCCTAACTTAACACTTTATACTCATGAATGATTTTTTGTTGAGGTTTTGTTCATTAAACATTTTATAAGAAAAAATGTTCTGGAGTTGATGCTTATCTACACAATTTTTTTTTCTGATTTTCTCAAATTATTGGGCACCTTGCAGCTTACTTTCAGTTGTTGCCAGGGTACTTGTAAACAGGTGCATTGAAGGAAAAAAAAACTTAAAAGGAGAACAACCGACTGGGCTGGATATTTTGGGCAAGACCATCACTCACCGAGCTTCCCATATGTCCTAAGGCATCCTTTGCTCTTTCTTTACGAGTGGGCAGAACGCTGACAGTGAATGCTCGAATGATGTGGGAACAGAACTCCACTGATATGCCGATGGCCTGAAAAGGAGGAAATAAAGATGAGAACAAAAATGTTATAGTATAAAGGTACACACAGCAAGCAGCAACAAAACGAAGTATATGAGAGAGAGAGAGCGAGCGAGAGCCAATTTTTTCGTGAGACTTTTACGGCACTTGCAAAACAATAAGGTCATACAAGTGCCGAAGAATAGACGTGTTACAAGAGAGTAACATACACAAAAAAGAAGGAGCAGAGATAAGGACGATAGATGTTTGATAGGAAAGAAGGAGCAAACCACACCAGAGCACCCGCCAACCACCCAGAGAGCAAAGTTTTAATAGCCCCAACACCCAAGTCTGAGTGGGCATGAGAGAGTATGCGTCAGTTTTCACCACCATTGGCTACTGTTGAGCACGACAGTCTCACATGTCATGTTTATTTAGTTTTAGTAGAAGTTTTACGGCACTCGCAACTGCATAAGGTCATATGAGCGCCAAGGGGTGGGTGTCAACAGAGAAGTCTTTACAGGAAATCAGACTTACTCTGCTCACCTCTCTAGCTTCAATAGCACAAAGTCTGCTTGGGGCTCTCGTGGCCTAGAGGTCAAGGTGTTGGCCTCTCATTCAAAGGTCCCGGGTTCGAATCCGGGCAGCGACCGAAAAATTTTCTTCTCTAAAATTGTCTCCTTTCACCTCTTTTCCTGCTCTCTAGTAATGTTCTGTTGCCTGCTTTCGTTTCCACATTCTGCCCCCTCCCCTTCACCTCCTTTGCCCCCTCCTCTGGGCTCCTGACTCTTTCTGCAGCCTTTCTACTGCTACTCCTTGGCTCCTCCTAACTGCTGTCTTTCTGCCACACCCCTGATCTTCTGGTAGGAAAGATCTACACCTAGCCTTCTCGGACAAGGGCGAAAAATCTCGGAGGGCCCATGTGCAAGTTGCGCACGTTAAAGATCCATTGTTGGTCTAAAATCGATAAGAGTAGGCTTCGGCCAACAACCGGGCAAAATTCAAAATTTCCTTCCAACTGAAAATATTAGGTGTGTCCTGCGCACTCATATGACCTTATGCAGTTGCGAGCGCTGTAAAAACACTTACCAAAAACAAAAACAAAAAGAAAAAAAAAGTCTGCTTCGACTATCAAGGTACCCCAGAAAGAGCAAGTCACAAGAGTGTGACAAACATATAAAAGAAGTAGAGGAAAAATGACAATATTAAGGATTAGGAAAGAAAAAGCAGCAGTTCCCTGTTGTAGATCAGACACAGTTATGAGCGTGACATGATGAATCAGCCCATTTACAATTCTACTGTGCATGAACGAGAAATGTCCCCCCTTTGGGAATGGCCTAAAGACACTACAGTCAGTGGCACCACCCAGCGGGGTCCACATGTCATGACAAGCAGGAAAAACTTCTCCAAGGGCAATCAAAAAAGATTGGTATTTGCTATTTTCACCCCAGCACCCTCTTCTGACTCTGGACTTCCTTACCAGATGAAGTCAACTATTTATTGACACAAACAGGTTTGGGAATATTACTTTTTATCTTAAAAAATAACAAAGAGACACTACAAGACAAAAAAAAATAAATCCTATCCACCAATTCATATTATGAACATCTTCTTACACAAATACAAAGATACCAATTTAAACATGGACACACACACATGCATACATACAGAACGAGAGAGTGTGGAAGATGATGTACAAACACACACACACACTATGACCACCTTACCGTGATGAGGTTGACCAGCGACAGCTTTGAGGTCGATGTGCAAACTCACAAATATAAAGACACACACTAAGACCACCTTACCATGATGAAGGGCCAGGGCTAGAGCATTGAGGCTGATGTACAAACAATTAAATAATATATGCACAGACACATATGCACACACACTCATGATGTGATTGACCAGCAAGAGACTGAAGAGGTCTATGTACAAACACACAACTTTTACATGAATACACACACACACACTATGACCCCCTTTCCAGGATGAGGTTGACTAGCGAGAGAGCGTAGAGGTCTATGCATGTACAAACACACAAATTTTACATGAACACACACACACACACACACACTATAAACCCCCTTACCATGATGAGGTTGACCAGCGAGAGAGCGTTGAGGTCTATGTCCCACAAGTACATCATGCCCATCAGGTCCACCAGGATCATGAGGATGGTCAGCACGACCAGCACCGCAGAGTGCAGGTCCAGGCCCAGCAGCAGGAACGAAATGACAAAGATGGCCGCCAGGCAGTACAGGATGTTCAACACCGAGTCCTCCACGATGGTCAGGTACTGCTCGTAGAACACGTAGAACACGCTGGAACAGAGGGGAAGAAACAAAGTGGATGTTAAACACCATATGTTTTAGTAAAGGTTTTACGGCACTTGCAAAACAATAAAGTCATTAAGTGCCGAAGATTAAAGTTTAGTTTTAATAGAGGTTTTTCGGCGCTCGCAACTGCATAACGTCATATGAGCACCAGAAGATTAGAGGTGTTACAAGAGAGTAACAAACATAAAAAAGGAGGGGAGATAGAGACGATAGATTTTTTATAGTAAAGAAGGAGCAAACCACACCAGAGCACCCACCAACCACCCACTGAAGATTAGAGGTATTACAAGAGAGTAACAAACACACAAAAAAAGGAGGGGAGATAAAGAAGATAGAAGAAGTTTGATAGCAAAGAAGAAGTAAACCACACCAGAGCACCCTTCAACCACCCACAATGTGGATGTTAAACACCATAGGAAGATCAGATCTGTGTCAGTTAATGCCAGCTGTATTTTTCAACAACCCAGGTAGGCACTCTATTCCAAGCCGATAAGCCCAAATCAAACACCAGTATTGTTTGTTTGAGTACAGAGAAGCAGATGGACACAGTATCAGTCATTTAAAATATCAAGTCAAAGCAGAGAAGAGAACCACCAAGTTGTACACTAGCATTGTTAAAATACAGAGAAGAGCATTGTCATTAAGTGCTGGGAAAAAGGAGAAAACAGAATTCGGGGTCACACAACAGTAAAGTTGGGGCACAGTGAAGCACATTGATGGAACAATGGTTATTTAGTGTTGGGAAAATATAAGACAGACAGACAGAAAACAACGAAGAAACAGAAGATAAGTAAGGCCTACCAGTGGCACCCTCCAATCAACCACCCACAAAATTGTGTTATACGACACTGTACATGATATCAAGCATCAACAGACAAGGGGCCTTTGAGCTCTACAGAGTTTGTCCTCCAATGTCTAACAATGACCAGCGCATCTGCTGAGGAGAATATTTTTTTACCCTATCCATACACCCAGGGGTAAATTCTTCACATTTCAGAATACTTCTAGTTTAAAGATCTCTGAAACTTTCAGTATTTCTCAAAAAATCATTTTGACAGACTGTTATGCAAAGCGTACGGATCGGATTAATGCGTAAATTTCCTCTTTGGAAAGTGGTGGCACAGAGTTCCCCACGTCGTATGGATACGATAGAAAAACGTGACATACAGATACGGTTAAGCAAAATAGAGGAAATAAGGATTAACCCTTCAAGCCCTGACCTCCTGATGATACCATGCCCCTCTGCCAGAGCTCCTAATAGATATATTACTAACATTCATATGATCGTCAGAATCACATTCCATATCCCACTTCTGGTTGTCCTTGTCCTTACTAGCATCTAATTCAGAAAGACCTTCAAAATAATCAGTAACGTACTGTGGTAGTAGACACAGTTTCACGAGCGTGTTTTGTCCCAAGCGAGCTGGTTTGGGGATCGGGTCTCGCTCACTGCTGTACCGGTGGCTAGACATAAAGGCAGTTTTACACACCATCGGTGTACCGGTGGCTAGACATACAGGCAGTTTTACACACCATCAGTGTACCGGTGGCTAGACATACAGGCAGTTTTACCAAAGATAGTACCAAAGATAGTACATAACAAGATGGGCCACTCAGCCAAAAAAGTGTCCGCCGGAAGTTCGCTCTTTGCTTCAGATGGCGCTGCAGTCTGTTTTGAAGCTCTCTTTCGTTTTTCCAGAAGAAGAATAGGAATAGCACCTTCTTGCGTGCGCAGATCGATTCTTCATCAGCAGTTCGGGTTCGTTCAGTGCGGAGTTTTAGGTTTTTTTTATTTTAATGACCTCTCGCCTTTCATTCTAAAGTCAAATTAAACGAACAAAACAATCACCCTTTCCTCCGGAAGAGTTTTTTTTGTCAGAGTAACCATTTTAAAAAAGTGTTCTTCCTAAATTAATTCCAAAACTTGCTAGTTACACTTTGATTTTTTAAAACCCAAGTAGGGCAGCTCTGTTCGCAAAGGGTGCGCTTTTGCGAAGAGGGCGCCACCGAATTTTGAGGACACTTTTTTAATTGGCTCAAAGAGTGAAGTGGCCGCTCTTGTTATGTAGACTCTTTGGTTTTACACACCACCAGTGTACCAGTGGCGAGGGCTCAAAGGGATAAGATTACTTGTGGCTTTTGCTACCGCCAATGAGACCCAATTCTGGCAGAGATGAGATAACCCCATTTTGAACATGCTTCATCACTAATTGATATGTGCAGTTTGCAGGCTTCTCTCTTGGCTCAACTCCTTAAACCTCATCGGACACTGGGAGCGTCCGGCGGTAATAGCCCTGTTCCCTACGCTGGGAGCGTCCGATACTAGTGACAACTGTTCCGTTTTGTTTAGTGCTAGTCTTTGCTTGTTTTTCAGAACAATTCCCGAACCAAGTTTTTTATTTTTGTAAAGACTAAGCCTTTGTCTCCACCATTTGGAAGTTGGAGGCATGCTTTTGGGGTTATAATAAGACATAGTGCACCAGGTTTAGGTGACTAGATAAAAACTCAGGGAAACGGTGGAAAAATCTCAGGGTTTCAAGAGTAAAGTATCTGCAATGCGTGAATGAAGCCTCTGATTTGCCACTCTCCAACTGGATCTGTCAGGAGCAATAGTCTCACCTGTAAGGGAACACTTTCCCGGTCCCGTTCATCGACAACGTGATGTTGTCTGAAATTTTTCTGGCCTCCTTCAGAGCAGTGATGTAATCCGAGGATGTCTTCAAGACACTGTGGTAGGTCATGAAGTATGTAGCTGTGGACAGAAGAAAAACTTGGCTTAATATCATGTGTGTGTGTGTGTGTGAGAAAAGGTGTGGGAGTGCTTTTGTGTAAGAGAGAGTGAAAGAGAGAAAAAAAGAGAGAGGAGGGAGGGAGGGAGGGAGAGAGAGAGATTTTTGTTTTAGTAGAGGTTTTACGGTGCTCGCAACTGCATAAGGTCATATGATTAGAGGAGTTACAAGTGAGAAACAAAAATTTTTAAAAAGAAGAAGGGGAGATAAGGACAATAGATGTTTGATAGGAAAAAAGAAGCAAATCACACCAGAGCACCTGCCAACCACCCACTGAGAGAGAGAGAGAGAGAGAGAGAGAGAGAGAGAGGGGGGGGAGAGAGAGGGAGAGAGAGAGAATGTATGTGTATACGCACGTGTACATATGGAAGTGTGAAGTCAATAGATACAGATTCTGAGAGTACAGCAGATTTATTCCAGAAAGAAAATGACACAGGCTCCCCCCAATAGGAGTAATTAGTGCAGAAATATGGTCGTCACCATGACAAACGGAATCATCTTTACTTGCAACAGTTCAAGTAATAAGCAAAGCACAGTTTTAACAGTCATGTAGTTTTGACAAGTTGTAGGGTGTGGAGAACATGCATAATATAGACCACACACTTCATAAGCTTTCAGTTTCAGTAAAGAAGAGAACATCAGCAAAATAATGATCTCTTAATGAGGATAGAGAGAAAGATATCGAGACCTAAACAACAGGGGGAGGGGGAAGAAATCTTAGAAGCAGCACCTACCAACGGCACCCTCCAACCACCTGCACATTTTGAGAAGAACAGATTCAGACAACATTTAAAAGAAGTAAAAGAAGCAGACCACACTAGAAGACTCACCTCCAACATGTGTTTCGTGATGGGAATCGTTACTCAGCTGCACTGCTGACCCATAGGCTGCATGGCCTCTGTCAAAGAAAAAAAAACAACCCCAAAACGCACATTATAAAATCATAAATAGCTGAGGGAAAGAAAAGAGATTGGACCTACCAGTGACGGATGCCCTCCAACCACAGACTGGCTTCTAAAACAATGAGAAACCAAGTGACCACCATCTAAGAATCACAGCCAGTTATGCTAGTTCCCTCATGACTCCACCCACTGTTTGGCAAAAATGATAAAAATGGAATGCTCAACACCCATAGACTTTAATTATACTATCCTAGACCATGCTCAGTCATAGCGAATGTTCGTTGCTCTCTATAAAACTTTGCTACGAAGTGTGCGCTTCATGAGAGCCCAAAAGAAGGGCAAAACGCTGCAGTTGAGTGCATTTGGTAACACCCCCCCCCGTCATATCATATGGCTCCGAAGTGAACCAAAGTTATGTGGGAGTAAGGTCTGGGATATTATGTTGCAAGTCTATGTGGACACCAGACAATGACACGCCAGTGACATACCCCTTCGCACAGTGAATGTTGGGGTTGTCCTTCAAGAACCAAGGAAGGAATTTGTCAAAGTCATGACTGATGGGGCGCCCTTTGTACTTGTCCGTGACGTTGCAAGCAAGGCAGGTCTTGTTCTGTTCTGTAAAGGGACAACAACAGGTGGCAAAATCAGTGACTGAGGAGAGTGACTAGCAGGACCCTATGACTAGTAACAACATAGTTAATTTAGAAATAGTAAAAGTTGAGCAGCGTTTGAAACACAAACTGGTCATGTAAGTGTCGAAGATTAGAGATGTAACTACTAGAGCGTAACATACAAAGAAAAGAAGAAAAGACAAGGGCTACAGATGCTTGATTGGAAAAAAAAAAAAAACACCTGCCAACCAGCCACTTAGCAAGAGAAAAATGAGGATGACTCATTTAAATCATTTAAAAATTTGTCTCATTTTCACGCACTGACACTGGAACTAAGAAAATGATTCATTATTGATTAAACTATAACATTTCCAACAAGTACAAACACACAGTAGTTTCTTTGCTATGTACTAAAGATTTTCTTCCAGCTCTATATATTCCATGTTATGTACTAGTGCTGCTAGTGAAAATGTTTTATTCCCCCATAGACACTAATCAGATTCATGAAATTATGTGACATATTACAGCAATGCAGTGCAAACTTACCTGAAGACGGACAGAAATCTCCTGTGTCCTCATACGTCCGACAACACGGACTGACCACAAGCCACGAGAAGTAGTCATCTAACCAAGATGATACAGGTTGAGCAATGTACGAACTGAAACAAAAGAACAAATTGGCAAAAATTTTTCATTTCATCCTAAACAAATTCAACTTGTCTATAAGGTTGGGTTATCGCAGACAGTGACACCAGAGAGTTTACAGTAATACTAGAGAGATGGCACTTCGCCCGGATGCACATATCTGGGTCACCAGCTGATCGTGGAGAAACGCGTGGTAAACAAAAAAAAACTGCGTCCATTGTTCAAGGCATTTTCGTTGATCGCAGACTAGCATGGCCCCGGTTAGCACGAAATGTCAATGGCGTTCTGCTATAAACTGCACCTATTAGAATCAAAATCTGAGTTTCTTTCGATTTCCAAAGGATAACGAATATATTTTGATGAATAGAAAAATATAGATAAAAATAATGACAATGTGATTGTGGTCCTATCAGACTGATACGCCATGCACAAACTCAGCACACTTCAGCTTTGTTATCTCAGCTATTAATTGGGTTGGGGGGTTTTTTCCTGTGTAAATGCCCAAATTGAGCTTGCATTCTACTACTACTAGTGAAAGATATGTTACCTGGGTATGCGAAAAGATGTCTAAATACAAAGTACCATCGATCGGTTTTGCTACTTTCTTGGTCCGATCACCATTTTTAATTTGCGCGGGGGGAGGGGGGGATGGGGGATGGAAGGTGTTAGGGTTCCTATTTAACTCTTTAAGTGGTAGATTTATTATTGCTTCATGTGCTTTGCCATGATCTGAAATTGCGAGAATTTAATATAATGTGTGTGTGTGTGTGTGTGAGAGAGAGAGAGAGAGAGAAAGAGAGAGAGAGAGAGAGAGAGAGAGAGAGAGAGAACGAGAGAGAGAAAAAGACAGACAGACAGACAGAATGAGAGAGGGAGGGAGGGAGAGAGAGAGAGAGA